AACTTTATCTTCAAATTTATGTATATATTTCTGACTAATGTAATTTTTCAGTTCTACATTCATACTGATTTCTTGCCTAGTACCTTTGAACCCTGAGTGTTTTAAATAGCTTATTTATTATTGTGGGTTTATCTCTCTCCTAGCTATATCAATGATGATTGCTTCTGTTTTTTTTTTTTTTCCCAACTCTGATGTTCATTACCTATACAATTAAAATGGTTAATGTCTTTCAGATAGATTGGTACTTTTATTTCATCTTTTTCTTTCTTTCCTTTTTTTACCTCCTCCTTCTCCCCCCCCCCCCCCCCCCCCAGTACTGGGGATTGAACCCAGAGGTGCTCTAGCACTGTGCTGCATCACCAGCCCATTTTATGTTTTATTTTGAGACACAGTCTTGCCAAGATGCTGAGGCTAGCCTTGAACTTGTGATTCTCCTGCCTCAGCCTCTAGAGTTGCTGGGATTGCAGGCGGGCATTACAACAGCCAGTGCTTTTATCTTATCTAATGTCTCTCTCTCTCTAGTGGATTTTATTTTCACTATTATATCTACTTATTTTGATAGTAATAAAGAAATTTATTTTTATGAATGTTTGCATGATATAGTTTCATCTTCTTATAGTCAGTCCATCCATGTTCTTATGTTGTGAACTATTTCTTTTAAAAATTATTCTGGCATTCACTGTTTGGGTATATGTGTGTTTAGACTATCCCTTAAGTAATTATTGGTATATTAGGATATTAACTCAAAATATTCTTATTTGTCTGTGTTTTATTCTTTTATTTCTTCCTTTGTTTCTCTCTTTATGTTGTCATCTGAGATATATGAATATTTTTAGGTTTTCATCCTAATTTTTTGGTAATGTTTTAAAACTAACTTGTTAATTATGATTAATTTCCTTAGTGTTTGCTCTTAGTATTATAAAATACATATATAATTACTTATAATATCATTCTATCATGAACTTTTGAGTGAACTATTGAAATGCTACTTCAATTTAGTTTCCCAACCCTCTTTACTTTTATTGCTTGTATTCTTGATGATTGACATTCTGACTGGTGAGATGAAATATTAGAGTAGAATTGATCCTTTTATCATTAACCATCACATGAAATTGTGTTTAATGTTTCCACCATCAAATAGTATATCAGAATCCTTTTTCTTTTATTTTTTAATTTGCTCTAATTAGTTATACATGACGGTAGGCTGCATTTTGACACATTGTACACAAATGGAGCACAACTTCTCCTTCCTCTGGCTGTACATGGTGCAGAGTCACACCCAGAGTGTAATCATACCTGTATATAGGCTAATGATGTCCCTCTCATTCCAGCATTCTTCCTATCCCCACAGCCCCTCCCCTCTTCTCATTCTCCTCTGCAAAATTCAAAGTTCCTTCATCTTTCTCTACCCCCCACCCCATTATGGATCTGCATTCACTTTTCAAAATAGACATTCAGCCTTTGTATTTTTGAGTTTGGCTTATTTCCCTTAGCATAGTATTCTCCAACTCCACACATTTACCTACAAATGCCATGATTTTATTTTTTATGGCTGAGTAATATTCCATTGTGTATATGTACCACATTTTCTTTGTCCATTCTTCTGTCAAACAGCATGTGGTTTGGATTCATAGTTTGGCTATTATTAATTGAGCTTCCATAAACACTGATGGGGCTGCATCACTGTAGTACTCTGATTTTTAAGTTCTTTATGTATAAGCTGAGAAGTGGGATAACTGGGTCAAATGGTGATTCCATTCCAAGTTTTCTGAGGAATCTCCATACAGTTTTCCATAGCAGTTGCACCAATTTGCATTCCCACAGCAATATATGAGTGTGCCTTTTCCCCACATCCTCACCAACCTTTATTATTTCTTGTATTCTTGATGATTGACATTCTGACTGGTGAGATGAAATATTAGAGTAGTTTTTATTTACATTTCTCTTAACTGCTAGAGATAATGAACATATTCTCATATGTTTGTTGATTGACAGTATTTCTTCTGTGAAGTGTCAGCTTCTTACTGCATTTATAGATTGTTATTTTGTTTTTTTAGTGTTAAGTTTTTTTGAGTTCTTTCTACATCCTGGAGATTAGTGCTCTGTCTGAGTGCATGTGGTAAAGGTTTTCTCCCATTCTGTAGGCTCTCTCTTCATGTTATTTATTGTTTCCTTTGCTGAGAAGAAGCTTTTTAGTTTGAATCCCTCCCATTTATAGATTCTTGATTTCACTTCTTGTGCTTTAGGAGTCTTGTTAAGGAAGTCAGTTCCTGAGACAACATGGTGGAAATTTGGGCCTACTTTTTCTTCTGTTAGGTGCAGGGTCTCTATTCTAGTGCTTAAGTCTTTGATCCACTTTAAGTTGACTTTTGTGCAGGGTGAGAGATAAGGTTTAATTTCATTTTTTTAACATATGGATATTTAGTTTTCCCAGCACCATTTGTTGAAGAGGCTATCTTTTCTCCAATGTATGTTTTTCACACCTTTGTCTAGTATGAGATAACTGTATTTATATGGGTTTGTCTCTGTGTCTTCTGTTCTGTACCATTGGTTAACGTATTTGTTTTGGTGCCAAAACCATGCCAATTTTTGTTACTATTGCTCTGTAGTATAGTTTAAGGTCTGGTACTGTGATGCCTTCTGTTTCATTCTTCTTGATAAGGATTGCTTTGGCTATTCCTGGCCTCTTATTTTCCAAATGAATTTTATGATTTTTTTTCTAGTTCTATGAAAAACGTCATTGGAATTTTAATAGGAATTGCATTAAATCTATATAATACTTTCGGTAGTATGGCCATTTTGACAATGTTAATTTGGCCTATCCAAGAGCATTGTAGATCTTTCCACCTTCTAAGGTCTCCCTCAGTTTCTTTCTTTAGTATTCTGTAGTTTTCATTGTAGAGTTCTTATACTTCTTTCATTAGATTGATTCTCAAGTATTTTATTATTTTTAGGCTATTGTAAATGAGGTAGTTCTCCCAAATTCTCTTGCAGTGGATTTATCACTGATGTATAGAAATGCATTTGATTTATGTGTATTGATTTTATATCCTGCTACTTTTTTTTAATCTTCTCACAATAGAATCATGTTATTGGCAAATAGTTGGCCTGGGGTTTAGCATAGATTTGCTTTTACAATGTTGAGGTATGGTAAAACCTACTATTCCTAGGTTTTCTAATGTTTTGATCATGAAGGTGTGCTGTATTTTGTCAAATGCTTTTTCTGCATTTATTAAGATGATGATATGTTTCTTGTCTATTGATGTGATGAATTACACTTATTGATTTCCCCATGTTGAGCCAACCTTTCATCCCTGGGATGAACCATATTTGATTTTGGTGCACTATCTTCTTATTGTATGTGATTTGCTGATATTTTATTGATAAATTTTGCATTTATGTACATCAGGGATATAGGTCTGAAGTTTTCTTTCATTTATGGTCTTTGTCTCATTTTGGTATCAGGGTGATACTAGCCACATAGAATGAGTTTGGAAGGGTTCCCTCGTTTTGTATTTCATGGAATAATTTGAGGAGTATTGGTGTTAATTCTTCTTTGAAGATCTTGTAGAATTTGGCTGAGAATTCATCTGGTCTTATGGTTTTCTTGGTTGGTGGGCTTTTGATGGCATCTTCAGTTTCACTGCTTGAAATTGAGCTGTTTAAATTGTGTATGTCCTCCTGACTCATTTTGGGTATATCATGTTTCTAGAAATTTGTTGATGCCTTTGATATTTTGTATCTTATTTGAGTATAAATTTCAAAATAATTTCTAATTATCTTCTGTATTTTAGTAGTGTACATTGTGATATTTCCTTTTTCATCATCAATTTTAGTAGTTTGAGTTTTCTGTCTTCATTAGTGTAGCTAAGGGTTTATCAATTTTATTTGATTTTTCAGAATCAACTTTTTATTTTGTCAATTTTTGATCTTCACTTGTTTCTTTTGTTCAATTTCATTGATGTCAGCTCTAATTTTAATTATTTCCTGTCTTCTATTGCTTTTGGTATTGATTTGTTCTTCTTTTTCAAGATCTTTGAGATGTAATGTTAGGTCATTTATTTGTTGACTTTTTATTATTTTAATGAATGAACTCAAATGCAATGAACTTTCTTCTTAGTACTGCTTTCATAGTGTCCCAGAGATTTTGATATGTTGTGTCATTGTTCTCATTTATTTTTTTATTTCCTCCCTGATTTCTTCTGCTATCCATTCATCATTCAATAGAATGTTATGTAGTCTTCAGGTTTTGGAGTAGCTTCTTTTTAATTTTATTGTTGATTTCTAGTTTCATTCCATTATGATCTAACAGCATGCAGAATAGTATTTCTATTTTTTTTGTATTTACTAAATGTTGCTTTGTAGCATAACACATGGTATATTTTACAGAAGGATTCATTGCTGTTGAGAAGAGAGGGTATCCACTCAATGATGAATGAAATACTTTATATATGTCTGTTAAGTCTAAATTATTTTGATGATGTTAGTTCTGCCTATCCATGAACAGGGTATATTTTTCCATCTTCTAAGATCTTCTTTTAACCCCTACACAACACCAAGGCTGTATTTATTGTCATATAACATGCTAGAAATATGTGACTCTGACCGTCATAAAGACCAGAGACTTGGTTGCACAAGAGGGCCTGTCATGCAGCAGGTACAGTAATAAATATATGTTGAATTAAAATATATTCTGACACAAATGAAAATGTCTTAAATAGAGGAGTCACAGTCTACATCACTGTTCAGAAAGCTTGACTTCTCTGATTCACCAGTTCTCTGAATTTCAACTATGGTGCTACACTAAAATTACTCTAATCAAATTTTGTTATTGTTTGAAAAGTGTATACTCAATATTTATGTTTTCTAATGTGTATATTTGTACTGAATTCATGACTTAAACTTTATTTGTTGATTTGCTTTTAGCTCATTCCTGTCCCAGAATTTTTTGGTTTATACATATAGTGAAACGGGATCTTTGCAATCTGAGTCTTCATATGTTATGGTAAGAGTCAGATGTCTTAGACTTTTATTATCATATGTTTCTGTTGAAATGAACATATCATTACCTTTAGGATATTCTGTTCTGTGCTGACAGGTTTTTTTCCCCTCCCTGGTGCTAGAACTGAACCCAGGGCCATCCATGGACCTGCTAGAAAGCCACTCTACCCCTGAGCCAGATACCCAGCCCCATATTGACATTTTTATACAAATGTTTTTTTATTTTTTAATTATTTTTAGTTGTAGATAGACACAATATCTTTATTTGTTTATCTTTATGTGGTGCTGAGGATTGAACCCAGTGCCTCACATGTGTTAGACAAGCACTCTACGACTGAGCCACAACCTCAGCCCTCAAATGTTTTATTCTGTATAACTCTGACCTGTTATAGGGTTTACAGTTGTACATGGAAATGTCACGTGATAAAGATGAAACCCAGGTACAAAGGAATACTCATGGATATGCATATGGTATGAAGATAGTTGTCAAATGTCTTTTTACCTAAGCATTTACATTAATAATTCTGTATAATTTATGCTCTAATTATTAAAAATGTTGTAATATCTTTAGTCTTCTGAAATGTTTGATAGTACCTTATTTTATTCAGAAAGAATTCATGTATTTAACTGTTTATCCTGTTTTTCAGATGCATTGCCATTACCAAGGATATGTTGCAGAATCTCCACATTCTGTTGTGACACTCAGTGTCTGCTCTGGCCTCAGGTTAGAGCATCTTAGAGAATATTTGTATAGCAAAGAAGTAGGATTAACTTTAAAATGAAACTCAGTGGCTAGTGGACACAAATCAGGAAGAATCTGAAACTTTTTTTTAACATGGTCTTTCTTTGATTTGTCTTAATGTTAATATCTAAGTGTTTCAATCAAATGCCTTCAGTCCAGGGAGCCCTGAACGGAGACATTTCCAGGATACTGGGCAGAAATGTATACTTTTCAAAAAAGAAAACTTTACAATATCCCTCTAAATATTGTTGTTGTGGTCTCTATCATTATATCAGCTATTAAAAATATCCTTAGTTATTTAAATATAATAGGCACATACAATATGACCTCAGTTTAATAACAGACATAAGTTAACAAGAAGATACTTAATAGGCAAAATGTACAAATAGGTTATTTTCATCACTGATGCTGGAAAACTTACTTATAGATTTATCAGAGGAAGAAAGGACTAGAGTAGAGAAAAAAAACTTATTTTTCATGTTAGCCACCTGATTTCCATTATTTACTCATGTCAGTGTGAAAAACTGGCGCTGTCTGAACATGATTTTCATAGAAATGCATCTCTTTAGATTTCCATTCTGTGTATCTGCTATCCATTACTTTCACCTCTGTAAGAACAAGAATTTTTTTTCTTGAAATTCTCAGTGAATATCTTGATTCCTGGCAGGATTTGACCCTAGTTAATATATCTTGAATGAATGCAGTTGTTATTCAGAAATTATAAAATATTCTTCACTCATTTACTTCTTTAAACTCTGAGAAAAATCAAAGCAGATTTGGTATCTGTTAATTAGTGGTAGATTTCAAAAACCAAAGAGGAAAAGAAAGTCTTTTTAAAACATGTGCTTTACTATGATTTTTTTAAAAATTTCTCACAACATCTCAGATATAGCTTTGATGGGATCATTTTTTAAATTTTATAATTATTGCTTTTATTCAGAGGATTTCTGCAGTTTGAAAATATCAGCTATGGAATTGAACCACTGGAATCTTCAGCAAGATTTGAGCATATAATTTACCAAGTGAAAAATGGCAATCCAGATGTACTGACCTTCGCAGATAATTACAGCCATATTCAGCAGAAAGACCAGCTCTACAAATTTCATTTAAGCTCACAGGTAACTGTGGTGATTCTGATGTTATAAAATACTAGGAAATTACTTCTATAGAATATTTTCAATACTGAAAAGAAACTACTTAGCTGCTGAATAGAAATATTACATTTTATTTATGCTTTCTATACCTAGAAATAAAATATACCAAATTCATATAGAATATTTGAAAAAATTATATTGTATCATTTCTTGATACATTATGCAAGGTTTCTTTATTTTCTATTTTTTTCAAAGAAAATATTTATTATTGAAATAAATTTAGCATTACAAGAAGAACAGAGTCACTATCACTACCAAAAGCCTTGTAAAATTACCTTTAGAATTCTGACACATAGCTGTACATGCTACCTAATCAAATATTTCTAAAATAGGCAATCATTATTCAACTCTCTTAATTTTTTATAGAATTTTTGGTTGACAGTTTCTTTCAACACATGCATTTGGCCCATCACCTTTTGACCTTAATGATCTCTGATGAAAAATGAGTTATTAATCTTATTGAGGCTTCCTTGTGTAGGATGATACCTCTTCCTGTTTTTTTTTCCAAGATTTTTTTTATGACTGTTTGCTTATCATGTGTCTGAGTGTATTTCTTTATGTTTATACTACTTGGAGTTCATAGAGCTTCTTGAATGTGTGAATTCATATTCGTTGGTTTGTTTATCAAATTTGGAAAGTTTAGGGTTATTAATTCTTCAAATATTTTCCTGCCCCTTTAACTCCCTTGATTCCTTCTGGTATTCTCATTATGTATTTGTGTAATATACATTGATAGTGTCTCCCAGGTTTCTGAAGCTCTGTTCATTTTTCTTCATTCTTTTTTTTTCTTTCTCTTCCTCATATCATCTCAACTGATATGTTTCCAAGTCCACCGATCTTTCTTCTGTCTGCTCAATTCCTTTCTTGTGCCTCTCCAATGAATATTTAATTTCAGTTAGCATATTTTTCAAATCCATAATTTATGTCTTTTTGTCATTTGTATACTTTAATTGATATATTTTCTCTCAGGAGATATCATTACAATATTTTCCATTAGTTATTTATACATGATTTCCTTTTGCTGTTTGAAATTACTTAAAATAGCTAACATATTTTTCTAGTATGTTCAAGATCAACATTTAGCCATCCACATAGATAGGTGCATTGATTATTTTTTTCTTGTGTCTAGGCCACAGTGGTTTGATTCTTTGCATACACCCCATCCAAAATCAGAAACTGGATGGTCCAAATAATAGTAGTTCTGGAAATACAGTTTTCCCTCCTATCCCACTTTTTTTTTTTTTTTTTTTTTTTTTTTTTTGGCTATGTGTTGTAATTATTTGCCTTGGAAATTTTTGAACTTGTTCTCTGTCTTTGTTCTTTATTGTGTGCAGTTTCCTATTTTGTTATCTCAGTAATGGGTCTTAAATCCCACAAAGTTACTGCTTTTATCCAGATCAATCCATTTCTTGAAGGAAAGAAAAACAAAAAGAAAGAAAGCCCACTTTCTAGAATTCTATAAGCAGTGGTTAATTTATACAGTTCTGAAAATTTTGAGTTTAACAATTATTGTCGGTTCTCTTGATTTTATATTAGAATTTATAGTTCCTTACACATTTTAACTGATTTCACCATTTCATGAATTCTATGTGGCATGTAATTATAATGTTTTATTATAATGTGTTTTATAATTCCTCCATTAACCCATGGAACATTTAGAAGTATACGTATTTTGGAATTTTTCTAGATAGACTTTTGATTTTGATTTTTAATTGAATTTCATCATGTCTGACAGTGACTTTAGTGGGTGTGTTTCTCTCTGTATTATACAGTTGTATAGTGTAGGGTTCCACAGATGTTTAGTAGTTCTATTTGTTTGTTTTCTCCAAAACTTGTATTCTACATCTTTTGTCCTTACATGGATTTATAGTTTATATGAGTTAACACACCATTCTATTTTCCTTGTGAGTCATTTTTAAGCTTTGTTGTAAGTTATATATTAGTTGTAATTGTTGGTAAACTTCCACTGTTTGCTTTCAGATTCTCAGGAATTTTGTCTAGAAGTTTCTGAGAAAATTTTAAATAACATGTAAGATTCAGAAACAAGCACAAAGAACCCCTTTTTATTTTCTAGTTCCTTTCTAATTGTAAGGTAAACAATACCTCTTTATAAAAACAAAATGTAAAGTTCTTATTGAGAAAGTACCATTTGTAGACACATGAGGATAGCCACCGACAACCTCTTTCTGTATTGGGTGGTTATGCTGGAAGTATTATTAACAGAGATTTGCATCATTTTCTTGGCTTTTGTGTTTTTGCAGGAGATGATTTCAAGTAAGACATGTCATGTAGTAAAAGTGTAGCAAAATTTATTAAGAAAGAAGGCACACAAGTCACCCCCAAGGGACAGGGTAGATCATCTTGAAGAGGAGAGCAATGATTTTCTCCTTTGTTCTTTAGTTTTATTGCGGTTTTTAGGGGAAGTTTTCAGAGGGTGCTGTGAGTATTACCTCTCAGTTCTGGATTGACTGACTGCGTTAGATTTCCAAGCCTTTACTACATGTTCTGTAGCTCATAGGTATTTAAGAGAAACCCATAAGGAGGGAGAGAAAAGCTATAACTTACTGTGATATCATAAAACTAATATCATATGTGAATAATCTAAGGGCAACTCTTGGACATCCTGATCCAGATGACAGGTTCTAACTAGAATTTGTTTTATAGAATTTATGCTTAGTGAGCTCTGGTCAGAATCATTCTTCTTTCCCAAGTCTTGGAATTTCTGGTCTATGATGTTTGAGCAGATCTAAGCAATTAGGTCCTTTTGAGTGAGCATACCCATCTCGTTGGGTTCTTACCTCATGCATTTATCTATCTTCCTCCTGTTGTAAGAAAAATGATTTATGAGATCAGGAAAGGGTATTTAAATAGTTATCGTATCATACCTTGTGGTACCACTGAGACAGGGCCGTTAATTAACTAATTGGCTCAGTATTAAGTATTTTCTTAAACCCCTGACCCCACTACTCATGAAAAACTGCTACCTAACAGTATTTGGTATTGAATTTGAGTATCTGATCTTGCATGTTGTACAGTCTTTTCTACTAGACCATTTAAAATATTAATTTAAATTGTTTTAAATGCCGTTTCTGATAGGTTCAACATCTGTATCATCTATCAGTTTGGTTTTTATGATTACTGAATCTTTCAGATTGTGCTTTTTCTTGCTTATCTGTAATCATCCTTATTTTTTTCTTTTAAAAACTAGACATACTGCATAAGGAAGCAATATTTTTTTTGGACCAGAGATGAGTATACTTTCTTTCTCGCCTAGGTCTTTAGTTTGAAAGTATTGTTATCTAGTAAGTCGATTGGGGATATTTGATCTTAGTTGTTGTTGTAGCCTCTCCATTGTACTACAGGCTTCTTCACATTTCCCTAGTGATATCTTGCTTACAGTGAGCAACAGTTTGCTATAGAGAAGTCTGTTTCTTGCTTGTCTTTGGGTTTCTCTACTTGGCTTTGTTTTGTTCTGTTGCAGACAAAATCTGAGTCTTTTAGAGATTTCAACTATCTTTACTGATGTTTTTTCTTTATATATTATATATAGTATAGAATACGGGCTTGAAATGAGGCAGAGAACATGGGGAGTGTCTTGTGTTATGATTGACGTTCAATATTAGGCAGGCACTGTGAATTTTGGTTTTGGGGATATAATCCACAGATATACCTACCCTTGTCCTTCTCAGCTGTAATGCTGGATCTATAAAGTACTCCTTTCCCTCCCAGCCAAGGTAAAACATTTTTTCCACCCCCGGTAATGGGTTTCACCAGTATCTTCATATTACAAACATCTTAGCCCTTTCCCCTGTTGATTAATCCTTTTCTATTATAGGGAACTATTGTATATGGAGGAAATAGATTTTGGAAATAGATTTTGATGTTCTCCCTTTCCAGCCAGCACCAGATGACATCTGTTAGGATTGAGATGTGCTGTCCCCTGAAAGCTCATATGTGAGACAATGAAAGAAGGTTCATAGGAGAAATGATTGGGTTGTGAGAGTCTTAACCATATCAATGAATTAATTCCTGTCAGGATTAATGCCCTAAGCCTCCTTTGATACCACCTAGCTAGAAGGGGGGCTTATGACTGTTTCTACTACACGTGTGGCCTCCAATAATACTTCTTTGGAGTGAGGCTTGTTACCAACTAAGAGGTGGTAAAAATCAGTGGTTCCTACTCAGCTTTCTGACATACCTCAGAGTAGGGAATGGAAGTCTATGCTCCCTATATGGTTTCCAGTGAAACCACAGAGAAAGGGACACTACTACCATCAAGCAGAATCAAAGTATAGCACTATACCTGATAGGGATTAGCTAAGTGGTAACTGAAGTGGTAAGGTGTGGGTGGAGGAGGTGGGAATTAGGGTCTGGCTTTGGGATACATATATTTGTATCTGGCAAGTAGAGGACTCTCTCTGCTTCTTGATCACCATGATGTGAGCTGCTTCCCTCTGCTACACACTCCACCATGATGTTCAGCCACATCTTGAGCCCCAAGAAAGGGAACCAGCCTTTTATGGACTAGAACCTCTGAGACCTTGAGCCCTCAAATAAACTTTTCCTCCTGTACAGTTGTTCTGATTGGGTTCTTTAGTCACAGCAGCGAAAAAAACTGATGAAAACAACATCTTTTTAATTTTTTCCATTCTTTTTTAAAAAATTTTTTTAGTTGTAGATGGACACAATACCTTTTACTTTTATGTGGTACTGAGGATCGAACCCAATGCCTCACAGCACAAGTCTTGTGCTCTACCACTGAGCCACAACCCAGCCCCTGTTTTTTCCATTCTTTATTGTTAGTAGCTTATGGAATTCCTAGAGGAAAAAAAATCTGTAAGAAACTAAGAAACCAACTATTTTTATAGTTCATAGACTTTCAGGTTTGTAGAATCTTGAGCTTTAGAAATTCAGTCCCAAATTCTACCTGATATAGTTATCAACTTACATGCATTTGGTGTCCTCAGCAGCAGGTATGTAAATGTCTGGTTCCTGTTACACCCTGTAGGCGCATCTCTCTTCACATTTAGGTTAATGTCTTAATCTGCAATTTCAGCTCTTAAAAGATTGAATAAAAATCACTAATATAGCTGGCCCTGTAATTTCAGCTACTAGAGAGCCTGAGGCAGGAAGATCACAAGTTCAAGGCCAGCCTCAGCAATATTAAAAAAAAAAAAAAAAAAAGAGGACTAGGGATATAGCTTAGTAGTAGAAAACCCCAAGTTAAATCCAAGTATTTTTAAAAATCTCTAATATGTAGTTTCTCCAGGTTTTCCGTTGTATATATGGAAGCAAAGTTTTTTCCAGTTTTTTATATCCCTGATCTGAAATTAAAAATCTGAAAGGATTTTTTTTTTTGCATCAGTGAGCCAAAAATCAAAATGAAAGCAAAATGCCTATTATAATTCTGTTTCTCAAGAATTTGATGATAGCTGTGTGGCTTGTATGTATCTGTCAGCACTTAACTCTCCATCATGGAAGCCAGAATGTTCTACTCGACAATGTGAAGATCACAAAGCAAAACTAGGCAAAAGTAGCATATGCATTTACTAAATGTGAGAAGTTTTTGAATACTTTGCCTAAAGATTATACTTGAATTTATAGAGTTTTAGAAGGTTCTTTTCCATATCACTAATTTAGTCAAGACTTCTTATGTATATCAGTTATATTTCAAACACTTTGCTCATAGTTCAAATTCAGTCTTGAGTGGAAAACGACTGAAGGTACACTTCTAAATGCATTATGATTGTTAGCTGAAAAAGAAACCGACAGTTAATGAATATCAGTTTTATGTCAGTATTATCAGACACTAAAAATTCAAAATTAATTTCAATAATCATTACGACTTGTCATTAAATAATCTAAAATTTTTAAGGACTATGGATATGGACAAGATAGATACACTATCTCTAATTTTCCCTATACCTTAAAAATCCTAGACATTATTATGCCAGACAAACCTAAGAACTCTAAAGCCAAATACTAGGAAGCAGATAAGCCGGGCACCGCTATACACAAGAAACAGTATGACAGTGGTGAGCTCTCTGCTTTTGTTACCTTGGATGCAGGAGAAGCCCACATCTTGCAAATGTAGGTAAATACAAACAAAAATTGCAAAGAAAAATTTGCTCTCTTTGTTAAAAGTATCAGAAAAATGTCAACTTGGCAAAACCAAAGCTTCCAAAAACAAACAAACAAACAAACAAACATCCTACTCCATAGAATGCTAAAGAAAAAAATTTGCCTCCCTCCACTTCATTTCTTTCAGCAATAGCCAAGTGGGGAAACTTGTATTCTCACCTGCAGGCAAAGATGTCTACTTGTCTATGTACAAATAGTATCTTGGCAGGTTAGGTACTGTGTTTTTTGATTCTGTTACTTTGATTCTCCTTGATGGTAGTAGAGCCCCTTTCTCTGTGGTGTCACTGGAAACCATATAGGGAGCATAGACTTCCATTCCCTACTCTGGGGTATGTCAGAAAGCTGAGTAGGAACCACTGATTTTTGGCACCTCTTAGTTGATAACAAGCCTTACTCCCAAGAAGTATTATTGAAGGCCACATGTGTAGTAGAAACAGTCATAAGCTCCCTTCTAGCTAGGTGGTATCAATGGAGGCTTAGGGCATCCATGGAGGCTGAGTTAGCTGGCAGTAATAAGGCAGAAAATGCTGTCTTCACCCACGCAGCATCAGATAAGTTATGTCAAACCATTTAAATAAGGTCCAGAGACTCATTATATACTCAGTGCACCCAGAAAACAATAGGAAAATGCTTTTCACACCATGAACTGAGAAAATTTTTACTTGAATGAGAGAAGATAATCAGCAAATGCCAAGAATGGAATGATGTAAAAGTTGGAATAGCTGACAGGTGTTGAAGATAGTTACAGAAAGTCCAAACAAGAAATAATGAACATACTTTGAATTGGTTAAAAATATGGGGCTGGGAGTGTACCTCAGTGGTAGAGCATTTGCCTAACATGCATTAGTCCCCGGGTTCCATCCTCAGCAACACAACACACACACACACAAACACACACACACACACACTAACACACACACACACACGAAGTCTTGGCAGAGAAACAGAAAATAGAAAATGCTAGAAAATAATTAGAAGTTATAAAGATGCTTGAAATAAAAATGATAGCATTGTTTGATGTGTTTTCAGAATACCTAGCAGATATATTTAAGACAACTACAGTATAAAGAGAAGGTAAAATGTCTTAAAGAGGAGGAGTAAGTTTTCTGTACCTCACTCAAACTAATAAATTGTCAATTCCATTAGAAATATCATGTTACATGATCCAATCACTAGAGCCGTCTCCTTGAGAAAAGTCCATACACAAACATATTCTTAAAAACAACTATAGATGGGGCTGGGGATGTGGCTCAAGCAGCAATGTGCTTGCCTGGCATGTGTGGGGCACTGGGTTAGATCCTCAGCCCTACATAAAATAAAATAAAGATGTTGTGTCCACCGAAAACTGAAAAATAAATATTAGAAAAATTTTCTCTCTCTTCTCTCTTGCTCTCTTTTTTAGAGATAGATAAATAAAAATAAATAAAAATAAAAATCAGTTATTGACATTTTTAAGTAACCCACAGTAGGAAAAAAATGAAAAGAGAATACTAAAACAGTGGAAAAAAAAGAGAGAGATACAACAAATAGTAACAAGGTAAGCTAATTAAAGCCCCAACATCAAAAATAACTTTCAGTATGAATGGTCTAAATACACCAATGTAAAAGCTAAGATTGGCAAAGTGCATGTAAAAATAAAGACTCTTTGTAATATAATATAAAAGTATTTACAATATAATATAAAAATAATGACAAATTTTCTTAAGTGTAAGAAATAGGCAGGTTAAAGAGAAAAGGATATGAAAGATATTTCATGCAAAACAAAACCCTTCTAAGTAATAAATTGGTCAAAGAGGAAGTTTTAAAAGAAAGTAAAAATATGTACTGAAATAAGCAAAAAATAAAAGAGCTCAAAAATTGTGTAGCACAAAACAGTAGTAAGAAGAAATTTTATAGCATTAAATGATTACATTAGAAAAGGAGAAAATGTGCTAACATGTGGTATAATAAATGGATGATATAGAGATGACTGTCTTGAAATCATCAAGAATATTGCATCATGGTCAAGCACAGTGGGGTACGCCCACAATCCCACTGACCTGGGAGGCTGAGGCAGGAGGTTCACAATTTTGAGGCCAACCTCAGCAATTTAGCAAGACATGGTATCAAAATAAAAACAATGAAAAGGACTCGGTGGATGTGACTTAGTGCTAGAGTGCCCTGGGTACAATCCCAAGTATTGGGGGAGGGGGAATATATATATGGAGATGGTGGGAGAAAGGGGGGTGGGTGGGGAGGACAGATGCTATCAAGTGAGCTACACATGGCCTATGTTCTGCAATGATTGAATAATTTCTGACATTTTGCACTGTGTTCTTTTCTGTGTACCCAGAAGGTTAATAGGCAAACCACATTATTCACCTGAATTTCTGGGTAGACCATACGTTCTCAAGTGTTGGAAGATTGTAGAAGAAATAATTTCCTGTCCTTTCCTACTGAATAAATGAAAGATTCTCAGTGAGCCATAGTTGATGTTACCATAGTCTTTAGGAGGATAGTCAGTGAAGAATTCTCAAGTGTGACCTGGCAGTGTAGACAGGTCTTCAGATGAAGACAAAGAACTGATGTCTTCACAAATTCTCTTTTTCATGCAGTCCCTAAAAGAATACTCTGCATTACTCTAGCAGGATTACTGTAAATCTTTTATGCCTGGAATATTTTGAAGTGAAATTTTATACTTCACTATTAATTTTTATGTTTAAAATTTTTGTCCTCTTTATATCCCACCTTTTGTTGTTAACAAATTTGATACATATGACATTTGATAATGCATTTGTTTGTTGTTGTTTTTTCAGGAAAAATTTATTTCAAAACTATTACCCCAATATTTAGAAATGCACATCGTAGTGGAAAAAGCTTTGGTAAGTCACGTGTTCCTTCTTTTCTTTTGCTTTCTTTTTCTCACTCTTTCTTCCTTCCTCTGAATTAAAATTTGATGGTAATTTTAAAGACAAAATGGATTTTTTCAGTATTTCCAAATAAAGTCACTTTACATTATGAGTGTTAGATAAACAACATGTGGTCTTTACATCCCATTATGAGTAAAAGCCCAAACTATCCTAGAGTGCCCTACACACCTGCCTCTCCTAACCCCAGCTCAGCCTGTATCTTTTTTACCTCACCTGTGACAATCTTTCCCTTCTCTTCACCTACTCTAGCCTTTCTGGCCATATTGTTTTCTTTGAGCACACATGGTTTTTGTCAACTATTTGGTAAGCACATAGTCATTAGAAATTCTGCCTTAAAGAAATCACTTCTTTTCTTTCTTTCTTTTTTTTTTGTGTGTGTGTGTGCAACCCAGGCATGGTACTAGGGATTGAACCCAAGGGAAAACTACCCTGAGCTGCACCCCCAGCCCTTTTTACTTTGGGACAGGGTCTCACTGAATTGCCTAGGCTGGCCTTGAACTTGTAGTCCTCCTTCTTCAGCCTCCCACGTAGTCTGGGATTACTGGCTTGCACCTGGCTTTCTTCTTTTATTTGTGTGTGTGTTTGTGTGTGTGTGTGTGTGTGTGTGTGTGTGTGTGTGTGTGAGAGAGAGAGAGAGAGAGAGATCCTGGGGATGAACCCAGATTGTTGTGCACACCATGCAAATGCTCTACCACTAAACTGCATCCACAGATGAAGAGTGCACCTGTTAATGGAAGGTACAAATATGGAACAAGAGAATTACACTATGATACATTATGTACATCCATGGAAATGTATATCAAATAAAACTATAGAACAGGGAGAGATGTAGTAGTTGTTGAGAAAAAATTTTATGGAAAAGATATTTAGAGAAATAGCTAGGTTTTATCAGCTTGTTAAAGTTGTGTGATTCAGGCCTAGAAGTCTGAAGGACAACTGCTGACTTTACAAAATGATGACAGTTTGATCTCACTGAATTTCTTCTTTTAATTGTCTCAATTTTGCTCAACATATTTTGATGATAGGTAACATTTTCTACTGATTGAGCACTGTTGTGTTTCTCTTACATATTGACAAACGGCTTATGAACTTTTGGACCTCACAATACCACTTGAGTTGTTATGACATCTAATGTAGAAAACTATTTATCTACTATTTGATAAGGTTAAGTATTTACAGATTATTGCAAATTGTATTTTTCTTATTTGTATGTTTTTCTTCTATCTACCATCTACCAGATGCAATATCTTTTGTACAACAGAGAAAATATTGTACCTAGAGTATATTTAATTTTAAATTCAAGCAATGGAAATACATGGTTATTTTGACATTACTGTTTTTATCTACCTCTGTAAGAAGCGGACCTAGTTCATTAACTATTCTAATGGTGAATCAACATCCAGGAATATATACACCTATACTTTGGTAGGAATCCTTATTTTCAACTTGTAAGATTGGTGATTTTGACCGAGGTATTAAACGTTTTGATGAAAAAATGAAATGATGAAGGTTATTCATTAAGCCCCAAATATGAAACTATATCTTCTCCAGAATTTGCGAAAAATAAAGGGCATTATCTTCCTTGTGTCCTTTTGTATTTTCTTCTCTTTGTTCTCTGTAAACCTCATTACACATCTTGGTGACTTCTGTCTTTCTTGCTATAGATAGGTTTTTGAATTTCAATTAATATTTCTGTTTCTTTGTTTATTTACTCTTCTTAATTTCCCAAGCATGTAGTGAAACATACTTTGATTCCCTCTGTTTCATAGAAAATGCCTGACTCAAGAAGTTCCTCTATGGTAGGGAGAGGTCTGCATAATTGTTTGTTTTTTTTTAACCACTCGAGAGTATCTTTTAAAATTATTTTTCCATGTTAGCAGAAAATACATATGTAGAATAAGTATATCTTGTTCCAATTAGGATCCCATTATTGTGGTTGTACTTGATATGGATTTACATTGGTCATGAAGTGTCACTACCGTATAAAACAGGAATCCGTTTTAAATGCCCATGTATGCTTTATTTTTGTTGTTTTATATAATTATAAATTTATTATCTTTCTGGTAGCATGTTTTAAAATGTGTGACACAAACAATTGTTTTCCTGCCTGGTATCATCAAGATAGGTTCACCATCTAAAAAATTGCTATCTTTGTATTTTTTAAAAATGCTAAAAACTGAAACTTGTTTTTCAGTATGATTATATGGGATCTGAAATAATGGCTGTAACACAGAAAATCGTCCAGATTATTGGGCTTGTCAACACTGTAAGTTTTAAACTTTTCATATTTCCAATTTTATGAAAAAAATAATTGAAAATACTTTTCATTTTATTCTGGCCAATTAATGACTTGATACCTATTATTAACTTAATATTCAAAATACCAAATGAACTTTTTATATTTTGTGTACTCTTTTAATGTATTGATTATGTGCTTGAAAAATATATCCTGAATCTTATTTTTAGATGTTTACCCAGTTCAAATTGACTGTTATGCTGTCTTCCTTGGAATTGTGGTCACATAAAAACCAAATTTCTACCAGTGGGGATGCTGATGACATATTACAAAGATTTTTAGCATGGAAACAAAACTATCTTATCCTACAGCCCCATGACATATCTCATTTACTTATGTAAGCACAATGTTCTACATTATTAAAGACATATGCATAATAATTTCACTAAGTTAATAAATTGGTAAATATATTGTGTTGCTCAATTTTCTGTAGGAGCTTTTAAAAATGTTTATATATGTGTGTTATATATAAGCACATATATATGTGTGTTTGTGCATGTGTATATGAGTATAAACACATATATATACACATATATATATGTGTATACCTTTTGCCAGGGAGGTGATAATGTAGTTGGAAATATCATTAAAATAAAAGTAATAGAAAAAAAAAAAAAGTAATAGCAGTCAATTTTCTATCAGTATATTTTAAAGTACAATTAATATGAAAATAATCTGCATTTCATGAACTTTTATGATATCAACATTATTTGTAATTTATTAAGGATGTAAAAAGGACACTGTTCAGTTAAATTACCCATGATATGTTAATGTATTTCATGTCTAGTTTTTGACTAAAAAGGATTTGTGGGACCTGGTATGTGGGGTATATGTATAATCCCAGAGACTCAAGAGGCTGATGCAGATGCGGGAGGATCACAAGTTCATGGGCAGCTTGGACAACTTAGAGAGACCCTGTCTTAACATTTAAGAACACATAAATAAATAAAGGACTAAGGATGTATCTCAGTGGTCAAGTACCCCTGTGTTCAACCCCCAGTATCAAAAATCCCCCAAATCAAAACAAACAAATGGATTTGGTGTGTGTGTGTGTGTGTGTATGTGTGTGTGTGTGTGTGTGAAATGTATAAAATTTAATTTTAAATAAAAACTTCTCTTTAGGACAGGTAACTTTGCTTCTTCCTCAAGTTAAAAATTATCTTCTTTTTAACATTTAGAGATCAAAACATTGAATGTATAATAAATGTAAGTAAGTTGAATTTAAGATAATAAAATACATCAAATCTAGGATTTAGGTGAGGAAAGTTGGTATTTAAATGAGACAGTTTTCAATAATTTGAGCATTTTGTGTAATGTATTGGGTATTATCCAGATTGGAACTTGGTATGTTTACAAAGTCATTTTCCAAATTTTATGAGATATTTAACTTAATATATAAGATTATAATGTTCTGAATAGCAAACTTAATAAAAAGGCAATACTATAATGGTGTAGTTACAGGAAACATCCTAAATATATGGGAGCAACATTTCCTGGAACAATATGCAATAAAAACTATGATGCAGGTGTTGCTATGGTATGTAAATTTTATCCTTCTTTATACATTACTACTTTTAAGCCTTATACTACATTTTATGAATATTAATGAAAGTATTTGGTTTACAACAACTTCCTTTTTCAGTTTTTGTATATTTGTTGTTGTTTTGTCAGAACAAAATATTAGAATGTTAAAAAATATTTATAAGTTTCAAGCAGAAGTAGTATAAGACAAATAGTATACCCATTCACCAACTGGTCATAATATTCATGAAAACTGCTTCAGATTTTTAAGTAAATACTTAGAGCAAATGTAAAGATTCCTGTATAATTCCTTCAAGTTCAAGAAATTGAAAAAATCATGACTTGGTGATTACCGCTTTGTGTATACTTTATGCTATTTTTACAAATATAGATATTTTTCTATTTTTACTTCTTTTATATGTCATCTTAGCACTATTTGCAATAATTTCTTAAACTATATATGCATGTTGAAGCATGCAACCCCAGGGTAAAATGTTATCTCTTGAACTTTTTATCATTATCAAGTAATGCATATATTCTTATAAATGCAATATTTACACAAATTACTAATACAAACTGTATTACAAGATTAATACTGAAAAATCTTGATAGATCAGTCACATGAATAATCTACATCCCTCAAATCCTCTTCTTCAATTCTTAAAAAGTTTCTTGCTGTTTTAAAACTCCTTGTTCATTTTGTTTTAAGGGATTGAACCCAGGGGCACTTAACCACTGAGCCACATCCCCAGCCCCATTTAAATATTTTTATTTAGACACAGGATCTCACTAAGTTACTTAGGGTCTCACTAAGTTGCTGAGGCTGGCTTTGAATTTTTGATCCTCCTGCCTCAGCCTCCTGAGCCCCTGGGATTGCATGTGTGAGCCCCTGTACCCAGCTTAAAAATTTCATTATAAAGTACATAATATATAAAGAAAATTATGCAAGTCATAATTAATTTTTACAATAAATACATACGTATATGCATCACAAAGATCACAAATTAAGACATTAATAATACTGGAAAAGACCCCTTTGATCATGCCTCCTCCCACTTACTATGCATCACAATGGAAATCCAATTCTAACACCCATAGCTCTTGATTAGTTTCACAGTTTTAAAAACTTTTATATTAATGCCACAGTGTGTATTTTGTGTTTATAAAGATCCCCCTTAATTACATCTGTAGGAATAGTTTGTTATACCATATTTTTAAAGACTATGTCCATAAAGTTTCTTGAGTATTCAAATGTAGGATTATCTGTCAACTTCCTCTCATTGAAGTTCATGCTAATAGCTAATCACATCTGCATTCTGCCTCTTTCATTCTTCCTCTATAACTTCATAATGTATTGGAATTATTCTGTTCTCTCCTGAGCCAAATAATGAACTAAGACCAAATTACCTAAAATGTTTGGTTTTTGCAGAATTTAATAATTATATCATATTGATTTTGTTAAAATTCTGTAATAAAATTACAAATTGCCTCTACTTCTACATGACTTTATCCTAGAGGCTTTATCCTAGAGGCTTACTTTCAGTTGGATAACTAGAGAGGTAGAAGACCATCCCCTCTCTTACCCAGCATTGACCGTCCAGCTTCTGGTTTTTACACCTTGCCCCAAGATGTAAACTAATGCCTCCAGATGTAAACCTTATGCCCCCAAATGAGATCATCACTCATGTCCTGTTCTGCTTTAACTTTCTTTCAAATTCTAACACTGGGATATTTAGGCTCAGGTATTACAGTATATTAGGGAATTATACCTACAAATGATTTTTTCTATACTGCTAGATGTATTTTTTTTTCAGTCATACACATGCATATACATACAAACAATTTTTTTTTTATTTTTTCTATGTATAAATTAAAATTTTCTACTATAAATTTCTTTTTTTGTTTTAATTAGTTACACATGACTGTATAATGATCTTAACATATCATACATTTGAATCAGATGGGGTATAATTTCTCATTTTTCTGAGTGTACAGGTTACCAATTCACATAGCAAAATTAGAAATGCTGTAAGAATTTTATTTGTAGTGATTAAAGAATATGTAAAATATCATTAGAGTTAAATAATATGGAATAATATATTTAAATATTATGAAATATATTGACACTCTGCCACCATTTTAAATCATTTTCCACCTCAAATTTCTTTATCATGGTTGTATTTATATCCCTAGCTTCTGTCCTGTCATTTCTTCCCTTCACTCAGACCATAATTTATTAACTGGTAGCCATTCAAGAACCCTGCCCATATTTATATTGTTGGGTCATCTCCCAACCTTAACATATCAGCCTACATACCAAAGAGGTTTTTGTAACTGCCTTATATTAATATTTTTCCTTATACTCCTTCATAAAATTCTCTTTTGAAGTATTTTGTTTTCTTCAAGAAACTTTTAATGATGTGTTTGCCTTTAAGAAGTTTGTTGTGGATTTCTGCTTTTGTTTTTCTCCCTTTCTATAAACTCTAGGTATGGATGAAGTCCATCATCTATACAGTGCCTGACACATAAATACACTGAAATGTTTTAATTGCATGAATTGATTAAAATGAAATATTTTACATTGCATCAAAAATAATGTGTTCAAAATTGCAAAATTTGTGCATACTATATTTTAAATTAGTGACTGACATAGTTAATGTTTTATACTAGTTCATTTTACTTAATCAGTAAATTAGCACCAATATACACATCAATGAAAATCAAAATGAATGATTATAAATTGTACTTACTATAAAAGTATTTAATTGTAAAGTTTTATAGAAACAAAAATGTTTCAAGTTATTTGTTGTTTCTGTGTTCTTCTACTAAAATACTCTTTTCTTCAATTGTCTTTATTTTAGTATCCAGATGCTATAAGTTTGGAGGGATTTTCAGTTATTATAGCTCAGCTGCTTGGATTTAATATAGGATTAACATATGATGACACCAATAATTGTTCTTGCCCAAGAGCTACATGCGTAATGAATCAAGAAGCAGTGTAAGGCTTTTTTTTTTCTTACTTAATTTCATATACACATTCATGAGGTTGTTTCTAAGATCTGATGAATGTTTTAAATCTTTCATATTCTATCACAAGTTGGAAAGGTATGTTATACTTGAAGAGAATATCATGTGTAATATTTTTTCTATGTGGCCTGAGAGTGTGGAAAGTGATATGTACTATTATTAAGATATTTTCACTCAAGGGAATTAGAGGGATAAATTTGAAGTTGATGAAAACTATGGAATATTGTGTAAATACATGATGCTATTGCTTTTTTGTTGTAGTCTTTGTTACTCAAGACAAAGATATCTAACATCACCCTTAGTAATAAAACAGTACTGGCAACTTTGGCTATTATACTGAGGGAAAGAAAAAGAAAGAAAGAAATATCTGATGAAGAACAAACTGTCCTTAATTTGTGATGTTATCTTGCCACCTTGAAATATCAATAGAATCAACTTACAATTAAGACAATAGCAAAATAAAAATTCATTAGGTAAATGGATTTAGAAAATACTGTTTATATCAGCACTAAACAAATTAGATGAATTACTATACAATTGGTATTCTTTGCAGTAAAGTTTTATAAATTTAGTATAGTTTTCATGAATAATTTATATTATATTTAAAGGCACTTGATAAATTCTTGAGAGGTGATAAAGTTAGTAAATAGAGCAATATTTTGCAGAGTATGAGATGGAATTTGTGATTAAAGGAAGGATTTTATATGTGGAAGACACTATATACCATCTCTAGACAGGGAGAAATAAATAGAAGACAGAAGCAGCAATAATGTCAGATGCAATAATTAAGAGTAAAATCACAGAGGATGGAAGCTGTAGTGCATAATATAGGGGCTAGTTCTTATTAGGACTGGGTACATTTAATAATTGTGATGGGGATTAGAAGAATAAATGTGTAGAGAGGTATGTAGTTTAATTAATTTCAGGTGTAAAGATGATGGCAGTTTCCTCTGAGTGAAAACTAAGAGCTGGGTATGTAACATCTCTGATGGAAAGTGTGAAACAGTTGTTTTGGAGACTGGAAATTGAAATGCTTTAGGAAACATGCTAGGACTGTTGACCATTTTGAAACCCTCAAATTTGTGATAATAAACAATGTGAATTCAAGCATCCTGGTTGGTTGTTTTGGTTGATTTAATATCAGTTTTTGATTAGTATATTCAGTAAAAAGGGAGTTAGGTTTTTTCCCATATTAAGTCCATGGGATTCAGAAAGAGATCTGTAGTATAAGCTGCTTTCTCCCAAAATAATTGTATTTCAAAAATTATTCCCCCGATCATAGAACTTTGGTTGAGAAATCAACATATTTTGAGACAAAGTGCCCTGGCTTACCTTATTCAAATTATCTTTTAGACCAGAATGTTAATCTAATCTGCAGGAGATGAATTGTTTTACATTTTCTTTCTATTGTATATCAAAATTATGTATACCTAGGGATCAAATATATACATATACTCATGCCCCACATAATGACTGTCCATCAACAATAAACTACATGTACCATAGCAGTCCTATAAGACTGTATCACCTGGTGATGTTGCAGCCATCATAGTTTGGATAAGTACATTTTGTGCTTGAACAATGACCAAAATCACCTAATGATGCATTTCTCAGAATTTGATATATGAATGTGATAATTTTTTCCAACTTTCAATTGGTGTCTTAGTCCATTTTCTGTTGTGAATAACATAGATAGTAAGTTTTACAGAAAAGAAGTTTATTTTAGCTGACAGTGGCCAAGGTTGAGGGGGAACATCCATGGATGGCTCTCCTGAAGGCAAAGTCCTGAGGCCATGCAGGTCACCACATGGCAAGAAACTGGAAGAGAGAGAGAGAGGAGAGAGGAGAGAGGAGGGAGGGAGGGAGGGAGGGAGAGAGAGAGAGAGAGAGAGAGAGAGAGAAGAAGAAGAAGAAGAAGAAGAAGAAGGAGGAGGAGGAGAGAGGAGGAGAGAGGAGGGGAGAGAGAGGAGAGAGGGGAGAGAGAGAGAGAGAGAGAGAGAGAGAGACTGTCTCCTTTTTTTTTTTTTTTTTTGGTCTCTTGCTTTTCTCAGAAAGCCACCAGTGTTCAATTGAGGTGACTGCACTCTGCTGACTATCTGATTTTAATTCCCTTTCAAAGGCCTTAATTTCTGAATACCATAGTCTGATTATGTTTGCACCTGCTTAATAACTTGTCTAGCAAGAATGTGTCATGTTTGAAGTTCCCTGATGCATTCTAACAGTGTCCCTGTGGATATAAGTTGTCTATAACTGATTATAATGGTGCTATAGTAATTTCTTATTGCTTTTAACATGTCTATAATGTTTGAATTGTTAATGTGTTCATGTTATCTGGAATTTGAAAATTGTATTAGAAATGCCTTTTAAAACTTCTAGCTTTTTGTTAGTGACTCATGATAGATACTGAAATCATGGTGTTAATGTCAAGAGTAGTTAATTCTGTTGATTCAACTTTTCAGTAGCCTTGCTTTGACCATTAAAGAGAAAGCCTACAGCTAATGTGTGTGGTTGGTGTGTGTGTGTGCACACATGTGCATGCATGCACACACGCGCACATGTGTGTGTGTGATTCACGCACACATAATTATATATATTTTGGAATTTTGGGAAAACAGGCAATTTCAAAATCCTAATATTATACACTTCTGTTTCTTCAAAGCTCTAAAGGCTCTAATTTCACTGTGTGTTAAAATAAGGTTTGATTCTCAAATTATTTCTATGAAATTTCATTTATGTGACCTCACATGTGAATTTGTTATCCTTCTTTGTAAAATATTGTTTAGGAATAGAGAATTCTGAGGAAAGAATGATATGGTCTTTTTATATAAAATTACAGCAATTTCTTATGTAAATTTTCATTGTTTTAGGAAATATTATAATCTTAGCTCCTAAATATAGGCATTGTTGCCCAATCCAATAAAATCCATAAAAATGTTCAAGTTCAATATCTTGATTAGAAACCAAAATGTATTCCTATTATCTTTTTAAAAATACTTTTTTGGACTAAGGTGTTTCTGTAGGATATGACTAAAAATGGACTGCTACCCCTCCCTTTCCATCTGTCTTGATTGATTTGTTTAAGAGTTTCATGTGGATTATTCTTTAGGGTTATTTTATGCCTAAATCTGGGAGATCCTGCTTGCTCTATAACTAAATTAAAAATCCAGGAGAAGGGAAAAGGAAATGTCTTCTTACTATTCCATAGCCAGCCAAATTAGGTTCTTTTCAAGGTAGAACCTTGACAGAAGTTAGAATTTCATTTCTTGTTTTAATCTTGGGCTCCAGCATACTCCAGGAATACTGTGGACACTGAGGACATTTCCTAAACCATCTTGAACTATATAGCTCCTGAATTTTTTTCTCCCTTTGTTTCCCAGCTTTAACTGTCTTTGCAGCTATAGTTCACTCTACTCTCACTGTATTACATTTTCCTTGGAGGAGGGCACAAATCTTTTTCTCCCAAATGAGAAAGTGTGTTGTCTCTATAACTTTTAAACATAACATCCCAGGCACAATGGTGTCTGGGGATTAAGGGACCTCTATTGAATTCAAAGAATTTTTTTTTTCAAAGATACTTTCAACTTTACTAAAGTTCTTTTATTATGAGACACTCTAATTTACCTTTTTAAGGCAGGGACTCAGAGAGATTGTATCTTATGAGTCTTTATTATATAACTGGGACATTCAAACATTATATGTGATTATATTATATTATTATATGTGATTATATTATATTATTTGTGATTATATTCAGGAAAGACCCTTTTTTATTTAAATAAGCTATGTTGACTGTGAATCTTTGTTCATAATTTGAGTTATCAGAATGAACAGACAGCAATGTAGCTATATTGTTTCTTTTGAGTTACTATCAGCCAAATATTTAGCATTGCCATATAAGTTATGGTATATCCTGAGGAGTCAGTGTATTATCCCTGTAGTCAAAAGATAATAACATTTTCCTTGAAGAACAGATTCAACCAGAGTTGTCAGATTATAGAAGAATAGAAAGTGTTAGTGAAACTCCAAAAGAATTATTTATTATGATTATCTGTAAAATTATCTCCTAACCTTCAAGAAATTCAGGTTTAAAATGAATCTTTCTGTCCTCCCATGCTCCCTTTCCCTATCCCACTATGAATCAACCTCCTTATATCAAAGAAAACATTCAGCATTTGATTTTTAGGGATTGGCTAACTTAGCATTATCTTCTCTAACTCCATCCATTTACCTGCAAATGCCATGATTTTATTCTCTTTTATTGCTGAGTAATATTCCGTTGTGTATATATGCCACATTTTTTTTATCTATTCATCTATTGAAGGGCATCTAGGTTGGCTACACAGTTTAGCTATTGTGAACTGTCCTGCTATAAATATTGATAATGATGTGGCTATGTCCCTGTAGTAAGCTATTTTTAAGTCCTTTGGTATGTAGACTGAGGAGAGGGATAGCTGGGTCAAATGGTGATTCAATTCCCAATTTTCCAAGAAATCTCCATAGGAAGGGAGGGGGCATGGGGATAGAACTGATGGTGGAAAGTAATGATCATTATTATCCAAAGTACATGTATGAAGACACAAATTGGTATGAATATACTTTGTATACAATCATAGATATGAAAAATGGTACTCTATATGTGTAATAAGAATTATAATGCATTCTGCTGTCTATACATAAAACAATTGAATCTTTTTCAGATCCTCACATTCCTTAGACCACAGTTTCAATCCCAAGTGAATTTCATCCTCTTTTGTTTGGCATATTTCTAGTAGTATTTAATCAAAAATAAACCATGATAATTAGCAATATATCAATGAGAAATTTATTTGGTCAAAGCAATCCACAATGATTTAAATGAAAAAATATGATTGCTGTGATATGTTAATTTTCCATAACAGAGTTTTCTTTTAGATCAGTTTTGATCAATGGTGTATTAAACGGGCCCCCCTTCTAGCTTGGGGAGCTAAGCCT